GGTCTCATTTCTTTAAATTTTGTAGTTTTTTGGGGAACTTACTGATTTTTGTGGCTATGGTTTTGACTGTTTTTCTACAGTATAACACAGAGCTGTGGAGCTGAGAAGAGTTCTGAACAAATACACAGTCCTTTGTTTCGAAAGCCTGCAAAAAAAAGAAGCACTATCTGTAGCTGAACGTGATATATCAAAACGCAAAAAACGCCTTTTTACACAAAACACATAGTATTATTTCCTTTCTCTTTAAATGTGTGTATATTCATTAGTACTTATTATTAAAGCCAAAGTACTGTTGTAATCATGATCAATGCAAAGGACATCCAAAACCCACGTCTATATACAGTCCCCCAACTTACACCCCCTTACACCAGCTCATATTTTTCTCTTTTTCTTCATTTCTAAACCCTAAATCCCAAATCCACACATAAAAAAAAAAACCCTATAGTCCTACTTAATTATTCTCAAGAAACTACTTTTGTGAGGTAGGGTTTTCTTGATTTTGAAAAAAAAATTTGTTTGAGAAAAGGCATGAAAGTTGTAGTATGGAGATTGAGGAGATTCAAACTCAAGACTGTAAATTTCCAAGAATCAGCTACCAAGATGAAGAAGATGATATAGGAGAAGTTAAAAAGAGTAGTTTTGGTGATATTGGTAAACTTTATGGGTGGCCGTCATCAAGAATTGTTAGAGTATCTCGTGCATCAGGAGGGAAAGATAGGCATAGTAAGGTTTGGACTTCTAAAGGGTTAAGAGATAGGCGTGTTCGCCTTTCTGTTAATACAGCTATACAGTTCTATGATTTGCAAGACCGGCTTGGCTGTGATCAGCCGAGTAAGGCTGTGGAGTGGCTTCTGAAAGCAGCCGCTCCTTCTATTGCTGAGCTGCCGCCTCTTGAGGGGTTTCCAGATGCACAGCAGCTCAGTGATGAGAAAAGGTCAAGTGCTGGGGTTGAGCCGGGTTTTGATTCAGCTGATGTTGAAATGGATGATGATGACCCGAATTACCACCAGCAACAGCAACAACAACAACCTTGTAGTAGCAATTCTGAGACCAGCAAAGGTTCTGGATTGTCACTTTCTCGGTCCGAAAGTCGGATCAAGGCAAGGGAACGAGCAAAGGAAAGGGCGGTGGAGAAGGAAAAAGAGAAAGAAAATGAGTCTTCTATTGTTGCTCATCATCACCAAAATATGCACCATAGCTCTTCTTTCACCGAGCTATTGGCAGGCGGTATGAACAACAATAACAACAACAGCAGCAACAATAACAGTAACACCAGTCCTATTCACCAAAACACGGCGAGGCAATGGTCTACTAATCCCTTGGAATACTTTACCTCGGGACTATTAGGCCCATCATCTACTCGTGCAATCGACAACTCTACTGGCTTCTCGGGTCAAGTTTATTTGGGAAATCCTCTACAGCCATTAATAGCTGTGTCTTCGCCAATGTTTAGTATTTCGGGGGACCATCAACCCGAGCTGCAGCATTTCCCCTTTGGCGGTAACAACCTAGCCCCGGTTGTGACCGCCAATGGGGAAAGCAATAGCCACAGCAATACCAGTAACGAGTACAATTTGAACTTCAGCATTTCTAGGGGGACCCTTCAGTCCAATTCTTCTTCTACTTCACCATCTATTTTGCCTCATCACTTCCAGAGGTTTTCTCCTATAGATGGATCACAAAATTTATTTCTTGGAACTACAATGGCAACTGCTGCTGCTGCTCCTAATGCTGCTGCATTATATGATGCTCCTTTACAGCTCTTCTATGGCAATGGCTATGACCATTCAGATCAGAAAGGAAAAGGAAAGAACTAACTTCATTAAAAAGCTAGTGCCTTTACTGCCCCATCTTCATCTAAGGTAAATATATCAGTTCTTGAACTCTATTCACCTTCTAAAAAAAGACTCCATTTTTTTGAATATTTTTTCTTTGAATAAAACTTTAGAATGTGGTCTTGTAACTGGTAAACGAGATTAGAATAATTTCTTATAGAAGTGCGTACGACGAGAGCAAGACCTTAGTGCATAGTTCAGCCCCTTCGGAAAGAGACCTTAGTGCATAGTTCAGTCCCTTCAGAAAGAGAGCTTAGTGCATCAAACTATCCTATTTTTTAATAAAACTTTAGTATCCTGGGGTATTTCCTTCTTATAATAATGTGTTTTAGTACTATGAAATGTCTTTATTAGATTTCTTGGTTTCATAAAAAGTTAGTAAGAAGACTATTGGGAGATGTGTTCTTTGCTTTTAGGGATCGGCTGAGTTGTCTCTTTGTTTGTTGTGTTCAATATGGTTTCCTTCTTGCTTAGCATGTCTGTGACAGGTGTTAATAGCTGGAATGAAGGGAACTTTAACAATGGTGGAGGTATTAGGTTGTAGACTAGAGATGCTGCTTCTTTTTAAAATCCACATTTATTTTTGTCTTGTGTAGTTAGTGTCCCACAAAGATGTCAGTAAACATTTAAACGCCCATAACTAAGCCAACACATGTCAGTTTCAACGGCGCTCATTGTCTTGCTTTGATAAGAGCACTTGTGTTAGGGTTAAGAAAGCTTATGGATTTTGAGTTCTTGTTTAGCTAGGTCAAATAAAACCTAAGACCCTATTAGTCCTATATTTTGTGTTAAAGTGCAGACAAGATTATAATGACCGCCTCAAGAAAAATATTACACTTGGTGTCTCACATAATTAACACAAGTTGTGTGAATATGTCTGGACAAATGGAATTTGTGAACCCAAAATTTCGAATTTTTGGGTCACAGACACTACTCATCAAACAAAAAAATCTTCACATTAACTTGTGTCTGCAACGAGTGATGTGTAGGTTAGATACACTTTATGAGTTCATATTCTATCACTAATAAAATATAATATTTTAAGTGAAAAAGTGTACGAACTTAATATAAATTGAATTTCAAACCATTAGTGACTGGCCTCCAAAAATCTATGGGTTATAAAAAAAACCAACTATAACAACATAGAGACATAACTTAGGTAAGGAAACAGTAGTAGTGATACTGTTGCTACTTAACAGTAAAATTGAAAATTTGACTTGTAAAATTTCCAATTAAACTTTGCTTAAGAATGAGAAGTTCCAATGGTTTCGTTACAACATACAATTGCATGTCTCTTATAAAATATAGAAAGGAAGGAGGGTAGATATATATAGCTAATTATTTACAAAAGAGTCTTAGCTAACTAGGAAAATATTATATTCCCTCCGTTTTAATTTATGTGTCGTAATTTTACTCCTACACGAATTTAAGGAGGGCATCAAACAGGGAATTTTTTTGTGAGATTGATATGTTCCCTTTCAAGACTGTGTCTGCTATTTGTGTATAACTATGGAATTCTGATCAGTTTGCTTGCACCTAGTTACACTAATCCATTGTATACCTACTATCTTCAAACACATATACATATAACTTTTCCATCAAAATTAAGAAAGATGAAAAGAATTCACCTAGTGTCGCCTTTGTTGGGATTCAAATCTTGATTCCCACGATTATTGGTCTATACTCTTCAACTGCTAGGCGACGCCATTGGGTGAAGCATCAGAGTCATGAGAATAATAAATATACTCAGTGAAATTTGTTTATGTTGTATTAGGATTGGCGACGGCCGGGTAACGGGGAATTTAGCTAAGCAGCCTTATAACAACAATAGCAAAGACAATACAAGTTGATAATGATGACAATAACAAATAAAGGAAACAAAATTTTAATGTGGTTTGTGACCTACATTTATAAGCGAAGAGGAACAAATTTACTATACCAACAAGAGTACAAATAATAAGATAAATATTCTAATTAATTCCAAATACCCCAAGAGAATAATCTCACGGAAAACACTCACAAAGAAATTCACACAAGCAAAACAAGAACATGCTCTTTATTACAAATTACATAAGGTGACACTTTTGTAATACTTCTTGCTCTCTATGAATTGGTGTGTTCTCCATACGATGAGAAACACTCTATTTATAGTAAGAGACCCATGACCTCCAAGCTTGCTACATGAGGTTTGATATTATGGAAAAATTATCTAACCACACATTTCAAACTTGGTCCCAAAGTTTAATTACCTGTTAGCCAAGTTTTCTTTTGTGGGAAAATAGGCTTATGCCTAGAGTAGATAGACCCTACTAAAGCCAAAAGAAATGAGCATATTACAAATTTTCATCTTGGCCTAATTTAACTAATATAATAAATTTCTCAAATGAGAATTTACGCGAACTAGCTACATAAAGCACATCCAAATTTGTTAGGATGAAAGTAACTTGCTTAGATTCCGCTTTTATACCAATTCGTTAGGATATAGTCCACAAGGATTTTTACAGAGAGGTGCAGCAAATTTGTTATATTAGTCAAAATTAGACCAAGGTGGACATTTGTAATATAATTATTTCTTTTGCATTTAGTGGAGTCCATTCCACTTAGGCATAAGCCTATTTTTCCAACCAAAGTTTTTTTTTTGACTGACAGATAATTGAATTTAGGGACCAAGTTTGAAATGTGTGGTTAGATAACTTTGCCATGATATTTGCTATAGCATCATCTCTCCTATCGCAAACTTGGAAGTCATGGTTCTCTTGCTATAAATAAAGGAGTTTATCCTCATTTGAAGAACATACTAATTCATAGAGAGCAAGAAGTACTCCATGTTGCTTAAATAGTTAAATTTATTTAGAACATGTGGAGAAAATTGAAGTCCTTGAAATTAATATAACCAATTTTACTTTGTTTCCATGTAAACAATTGATCTTTGAGTAAAATATCCACATTCAATATGTTTACATATTAATAAGTTGCAGAATTTGGTGCAAGCTAGAGTTTAACTAGCTATGCTTACATTGCATGTTTCATACTAACTTGAGTTCTTTCATTTGTGAGTATGCAATCTTTATGTGTATGCGTGTTTGAAGCTACGGGTAAAGGTAGTAAACCGACTCGTAGACCGCCAAAAACACAATGTCGTGTCCTACGTCATCACTCCGCCATCTCCATACTCATCCCGCCAAACTATTGGCTCTGATATAATTATTGGGCTAAAACGGTCCAAAGACACTCTTAATATGGTATGATATTGTCTGCTTTGGGCCAAACCAAAAAAAACTCATACAATTAAGAGTATCCAACTCCTTATAAAAAGATCATTTCTTTCTTCTACTTTCCATGTGGGACTTTGTTCATGCACCCAACATCATTCTTCCATTATAATTTGACAACCCTATGTTTTTATTCTTTTGCAACCTTGAAGATAAAAGAAGATGCACAACATATGAGATGCATGTTAAATTATACTAGGCAAATTTAGTGCACACAGCCTGTTGGACTCACTTTTTGCTTAGTAACTCTAACTAGAGATTTTCTAGTGTTGATTGTTTTCATTAGCCTAGTTTTTCATGTACTGTATCATGGATAACAATTCTATCAAATGGTGACATTATTTGTGTATCATGGTCTGTGTAATAGAGCCGAGGGTCTATCGGAAACAATATTTATATTCCCTCGAAGTAAGAGTAAAGTCTGCGTACATAATACCCTCCCCATATCCCACTTGTGAAATTTTATTGAATTGTTGTTGTTGTTGGTCTGTGTAATAGTAGGCTATATCTAGAGTTGAGGAAACTTTACTCAGACTTGTATGTCAAATATTTACAGGTCAAAGTGGTTACTCATCCAAATTTTATGTGAATTATTGTTCTCATAATTCATATTGGATGAGTAGGCTCGGTTTATATATTTCCTTTACTTTCTCAAAATCATTTTTACTGTTATCTGAAACTATTGCTCCGCACCTGATTGGCTTTTGTTACTCATAATTGATACAGGCAATTGAAGATGGAAGCTACAACTATGTCCCAAAGGGAGCATGTTTTTCTCTTCGACAGGCTTATTATGCTTCTTAAATCCTCATTCTGCATTATTCATTTTGAGTACTATTTTTTTTAATCTTGTATTTAGCTAAGGGTTTATCTGAAACAACCTCTCTATCTTTCCAGGGTAGGGGTAGAGGGAGGGGTAAGGTCTACGTACGCATTACTCTTTCCAGACCCCACTTGTGAGAATACACTAGATCTGTTGTTGTTGTTACCCTGACAGCAGTTGGTGCACAGGTTTGAAACTCCGGGATGTATGCCTACCAATTTGTGTATTTCTTGTGAGACGTAATTGATTGTTGATTGGAGTGCTTTTTTTTTTTTTTTACCTCACCTAATTATGAGTCAGCATTAAATTGTGCATAACATTGCTTCAGAAGGACAACATTTTTAACCTAAGATGCTGGATTTTGCCAACTTGAACTGCCCCGCATTTTTTTGTTCTCTGTTGTAGATGATCTTCAAAATGATAATTTCTAGCTAGCAGCCTCTGGTTGATTTTGAGTTAATTATATTATGCATCTTTATGTGTGTAAAATCTCAAAAAGGCTTTAGTTTAATCTTGATTTTTTATGCTATAAGGGGTCGCTTCGTAGGGTATAAGAATAATACTGAATAAGATGTATTAGTAATGTTGAGATTAGTTATATGTTGGAGATGAAAATGGCAACAATGGAGTCTTAATGGAGAAGGTTCTCAAAGTCTCTAAGGAAAGGGATTAGGTTAGTTCTTGTCTGAAGAAAGATATGTCTGAACGATACAACATAATATGGGTTTGGAAAATTGGGCTCCAGCCATTTCATTTCTGTTATGGGCCTTTTTCGTCTTGGACCTCTTTTGTCTTGGGCCAATGAGAAAGCTGTAGAGAGAAGTCTTTCAGATTTAGGTTGTAAATATTGTTTTGTTAATTTGTACTTATCCTTTAGTTTGTTATAGCTTAGCTAATAAATTAGGGACACGTAGCATAAGTGGTTATTTTGAAGATTCCATTCTTGTTGTATATAAACAACGTTCTCTACAGCACTATTTTCATTTATTCAATATAGAAAAAAAAAATTTCTTAATCTATCCTCTTCCTATTCTGTCATGGTATCAGAGCAGTGCTAATCTGCTTCAAGCCATGTTTCTTTTATTATTCAAATTCATCTTCTTTTCTCATTCACAATGGGAACAAATTCACAAACCACTGATACACTCATCTCCTCTCCCCCTATTCCAGCAGCTTTTGTATCTGCTGGTTCTAGTGGTATTGGTTTAGTTGATTCAGCTCATCCCTACTACCTCCATCCTTCAGACTACCCAGGAATGAACCTGGTCTCCTCAGTGTTTGATGGCAGAGGTTATGGTGGGTGGAGGAGAGCTGTAGTCATAGCCTTATCCGCTAAGAACAAGCTAGGATTCATTGATGAAACCCTAGTTGTTCCAGATGCAGATTCTGGCCTTCAAAGAGCTTGGGCAAGATGCAACGACATGGTCCTTTCTTGGCTCCTCAATCACTTTCCAAAGAAATTGCTGAGAGTGTCTTGTACTCACAGAGTGCAAAAGATCTGTAGCATGACCTGGAAGATAGGTTTGGTCAGGCAAGTGGAGCAAAGTTGTTTCAACTACAAAAAGAATTAAGTGATATGGTGCAAGGTAACTCGAGTGTTTCAACCTATTTTACTAAGATGAAAGGATTATGGGATGAGCTAGATGCACTCAATACCTTTTCTGATTGTGTGTGTGAGTGTGATTGTGGGGCTAAGGCAAAGAGTATCAAGGCTCATCAAGATGAGAGACTTTTGCAATTCCTTATGGGTTTGAATGAAATCTTTGTAGGAGTTAGGAGCAACATATTGTTGTCATCTCCTTTACCTTCCATTGGGCGGGCATACTCTTTGGTCATACAAGATGAAAAACAAAGAGAAATTCATGTTGTACCTGCCTATTCAGGGGAGTCTGGTTCCTTCATGGTAACAAACCAAGCATCTGGGAAGGAATATGGTGATTCCAAAGGACAGAAGGGGTCCTATGATGTAAAGAAGAGTTCAGGAATTTGTGCTTACTGCAAGAAGCCAGGACATAACATTGATATGTGCTATAAGGTCCATGGTTTTCCTGCAGATTTCAAATTCACAAAGCCAAGGAAATTTCAGGGACCAGTCCAGGCAAACAATGCTCTAATCTCAAATGAAGAAGGAGAACAGGGATTTGGAATCTCAGAAGGAAAATCACTTACCCAGGAGAATGTAACTCAGCTTCTTCAACAGTTGAAGATGGGACAACAAGCAGGCAATACTTCTGATGGTACTGAAAGGGCAAACTAGGCTGGTATACCCAAATTCTTTAAGTCACCTGCATGTTTCTTTCAATTCAACAGTCATTCATGGATACTAGATAGTGATGCTTCAGAACATATGTCTTATAACAAGAACTTTTTTTCTAATCTCAAGCCTTTAATCAAGCCTAGAATAGTCAATCTTCCTAATTCTCAGAAAGTTTTAGTTACTCATTATGGATCGGTAGCTCTTTTCTCTAATCTAGTAATACACAATGTGTTATATATACCTTCTTTTAAGTACAATCTACTATCTGTGCACAAATTATGTAAGCAACTTAGTAATCCACTTTTTTTTACTTCTAGTTCTTGTTTTTTGCAGGGCCCTTCTCTGAAGAGCCCTCTGGAGATTGGTAAGGAGAGAAGTGGTCTCCACATTCTTCAATCAAGGCCAACAGCTGCCATTTCCAAGAGTTTTTTACTTTCCAATAGTAGTTTTGTATCTAGAAAGAGTTTCACTGACAAACAATTTGTTCCAGTTTTACTTTCTTGTTTCAGTTCTTCAGATCCCTATGTAAAAGAAAAATTGTGGCACTATAGACTGGGTCACATTCCATTGAGTAATATGAGAAATATATCTACTATTCCTGTTTCTTCTTGTTCAAAGTTTTCTGTGCCTTGTGTCGTTTGTCCAATGGCTAGACAGTCCAAACTCCCTTTTCCCACTAGTTCTATTTCCACAAAGAAAGTTTTTGAGCTAATTCACATAGACACATGGGGGCCCTATAGCAACCAAACTTATGATGGTTACAAATACTTTCTTACAATTGTTGATGACTACAGTAGAGGAACATGGACTTATCTACTAAGTACAAAATCAAATGCATTTCCAGTTCTTAAGTCATTTTTGGCTGGCAGAAAGACAGTTCAATACCAAGGTCAAGACAATAAGGTCAGACAATGCTTTTGAATTAGGGAGTGGGAGTCTGCAGTCTAATTTTTTTTCTTCACAGGGAATAGTGCATCAGACTACTTGTGTAGCTTCTCCACAACAAAGTGGGGTTGTGGAAAGGAAACATAAGCATCTTTTAGAGACATCTCGAGCCACGCTCTTCCAATCAAAATTTCCTATTTCTTATTGGGGGGATTGTGTTCTAACTGCTACATACTTGATCAATAGGTTTCCTTCCAAGGTCCTTTCTTACAAAACACCCTATGAGGTTCTTTTCAAATCCAAACCTAGTTACTCTAATTTGAGGTATTTTGGGTGTGTATGTTTTGTTTCTACTCTCTCAAATCATAGAACAATGTTCCAACCAAGGGTTATACCTTGTGTTTTCTTGGGTTATCCATATGGAAAGAAGGGGTACAAGGTTCTCAATCTTAGCACTCTAAAGCCCTTTGTTTCTAGGGATGTTATTTTTCATGAAGAATTCTTCCCTTTTTCCTCCATCACATCCAAGGGATCAACTGACTCTTTTTTACCTACTGCACCAATGTCCAGTTCTCCTACCTTCTCCCCTGATTTACCACAACCTGCTACTAAACATTTAGAACTGTCTAATAAAGATCCTCCTGTGCAAAACATTCCTGATTTTCCACCTTCCAGTCCTACACCATCTTCTTCTTCTATCTTTCACTCTCATATTCCTACTGCTTCACCTTCAGCTACTGAACCCATGTTGGACAGTCTTATTAGAAAATCCTCAAGGCCATACAACCCTCCCCCTTACCTCAAGGACTACATTTGCAATGTTATTCAATTGACTGATGTAAGTGGTTCTTGTTTCCTATCACCTGTAACACCTTCTAGTTTTCCTTTCAATAACCTATCTACATCCAACCAACATCTCCTAAATTCCCTATCCTCTATCCAAGAACCAACCAGATATACCCAAGCATCCCATCACCCAGGATGGTAGGAAGCAATGGAAAGAGAGATACAGGCACTTAAGCTCAATCACACCTGGGAGGTCATGAAATTACCTCCTGGTAGAAAGGCATTACCGTGCAAGTGGGTGTATAAAGTGAAGCATAACTTTGATGGCAATGTGGAAAGGCTCAAAGCTAGACTTGTAGTTAGAAGGGATATCAAAAAGAAGGGATAGACTTCAATGAAACATTTTCCCCAATGGTAAAAATGACCACCATCAAATGTATTCTAGCTACAGCAGTTAAGAAAGGTTGGGGAATTTTTCAGTTAGATATGAATAATGCATTTCTGCATGGGGATTTAAATGAAGAGGTGTACATGAAGTTTCCAATTGGGTTCACTCCTTCTTCTCCTACACATGTTTACAAGTTAAAGAAGTCACTTTATGGGCTTCGTCAAGCATCCCGGCAGTGGTATGCTAAATTAATAGCAGCTCTTAATTTTAAAGGTTTCTCCCATTCTCTCAATGATTATTCCCTATTCTTTAAAAGGTCTGACTCCTCTATCTCTATAGTGTCCGTCTATGTCGATGATATACTCTTGACAGGAAATAATTTAGAGGAGCTACATGCTTTGAAAGTTTTTCTACATCAGGAATTCAAAATAAAGGATTTAGGGAACTTACATTATTTTCTTGGAATGGAGGTACTGCGTGAATCTGAGGGACTAATTCTGACTCAGCGGAAATTCACTCTTGATTTGTTGTTGGAATTTGATTGTCTTCACAAGCCATCCGTTTCTTGTCCACTTGATCCCACTATCAAATTGTTGGCCAAAACTAGTGCTCCTATCAAAGACCCGACCTTGTATCGCCATTTGTTGGGAAAGTTGAACTATTTAACTCATACAAGGCCGGACCTTTCCTTCACTATGCAGCATCTAAGCCAATATATGCAGGATCCACGAGTTTCTCACATGCAAGCAGCCTTTCGTGTCCTTCGATATTTATCAAAGGATTATGGTCTTGGTTTATTCATGACTTCTTCCCCTTCGTATTAGTTGCTGGCTTTCTGTGACTCCGATTGGGGCATATGCCCAAAATCGCGCAAATCTGTCAGTGGGTTCTACATTTTGCTGGGATCTTCTCCTATTTCCTGGAAATCCAAGAAGCAGACCTCAATTTCTCTCAGCTCTGCAGAAGCTGAGTATCGATCCATGCAGCGTGTAGCCGCAGAGCTTACCTGGTTAGTCAGGCTCTTTGATGATTTGTCTATTCCAATATCCCTTCCGGTCCCTCTTCACTCTGACAGCCAAGCCGCGATTCACATAGCTAAAAACCCCGTCTTTCATGAAAGAACGAAGTATGTAGAGCTTGAATGTCATTTTTATCGTCAGCAGTTCATGGCAGGTTTGATTTCACTATCATTTGTTTGCTCCTCTTCTCAGCTCGCCGATTTGTTCACAAAGCCTCTTACTGGCCGTTTTCATCACCGATTATTAGGCAAGTTGGGAGTAATTTCATCCCTCTCCAACTTGAGAAGGGGTATTGGAGATGAAAATGGCAACAATGGAGTCTTAATGGAGAAGGTTCTCAAAGTCTCTAAGAAAAGGGATTAGGTTAGTTCTTGTCTGAAGAAAGATATGTCTGAACGATACAACATAATATGGGTTTGGAAAATTGGGCTCCAGCCATTTCATTTCTATGTTGGGCCTTTTTCGTCTTGGACCTCTTTTGTCTTGGGCCAATGAGAAAGCTGTAGAGAGAAGTCTTTTAAATTTAGGTTGTAAATATTATTTTGCTTATTTGTACTTATCCTTTAGTTTGTTATAGCTTAGCTAATAAATTAGGGACACGTAGCATAAGTGGTTATTTTGAAGATTCCATTCTTGTTGTATATAAACATCGTTCTGTACAGCACTATTTTCATTCATTCAATACAGAAAAGAGAATTTTCTCAATCTATCCTCTTCTTATTCTGTCATTATACTGGGATTATTTTTTATCCATTATTTAGTTTGGTGTAGGGGTGTTCATGGTTCGGTTTGGATCGGTTTTTCCCTAAAAAGTAACCAAACCAAGTAAGTCGGTTTTTCAAATATTAGAACCAAACCAAACTAATTAAGTCAGTTTTTCTTCGATTCGGTTTATGTCGGGTTTACTCAGTTTTTCAATTTTTTCGGTTATTTGTCGATTTTTTCTTAAATATAAGACATACACTTCCAAACACATATTCTGGCGACCACATTTTCAACGTAAAATTATCAAATTAATTGCCCTTTGAGAAATCTAATATTTACCAAGATATATTGATAATAATTTAATCAAATAGTAATGAATAATTTAAGGACTCAATTAAAAATATATTATTTTTAACACGAAATGAATTCTTACACTTAACAAAAGAAAACTACCAACCAAACTAGAATGTAAAGGTAAAGAACTATACTAAAAGTGCAAACTATTAACATTTACCATAAATNCGATTTTTCGGATTTTTATGAACACCCGTAGTTTTGTGTATTAAAGACTTTGAAAGGGCTGAGTTGTCTTTACACATGCTTATTCATTTTAAAAATTATGGTATTGTTAATGTCGTGGTTTGCTATGTATAAGAATAATATTGAATAGGGTGTATAACTAACACAAGTATTTATATGATATTAGTTATAAATATGTTGGAAAAAACTACCAAAAAGTGACTAATGATACCAAAGCTAATATTTATATTGTTTTCCCTAATACATCCTACCAAACGGCTCCTAAGTGTCACACCTCCTTTTTACACACCCGAAGGTAGTACAAGGGAGTTTTTCCACTTTAAGTGACTTTATTTGAAATGGGATTATTTATTCAATTTTTGTTCAGAGTCGCCACTTGGGATGGTTTATTTTCTGGTGTCCCAAGTCACCGGTTTATTTTAAATCCCAAATCGAGGAAGATTTCGACTTTCTTTTGAAGTCTGCGAACCAAAAATTCTGAGTAAGGAATTTTGTTAACCCAAGGGAAGGTGTTAGACACCCCCGGATTCCGTGGTTCTAGCACGGTCGCTTAAACTATCATAATTGGCCTATTATCTGATTTTAGTACATGTTTTAACCTATACAATTTTTAGAAACTATTGACCGCTTTTAATTATTTTAAAGAAGATTTAACATCGTTCAAAACATGTCTTTGGATTGCGCCACATGAAATGCACCCGCAATCTGAAACACATCTTATTCAACGTTGTTGAGATTTGGATTTGGGTCACACAAAATGTACACCCGAGTTTAGGAAGGTAATGTTATTAAAATAACGCGCCTAAAGTGACTACGCATTTTTTAACTTAGAGAAGGCCATAGAAATTTGCTAAATGGTGCACCTCGAATTCTAAGGATTTTAAAGAAATAGTTAAATGAAGGCCACGCATTTGGAGATTTTATTTGGCGCGACGCACCTCCATTTCAATTTTTTAAGGATATTCAAACTAAAATTTGGATGGGCCGTGACTATTGGTGTTACTAATATGGCTCACTTCCAATCTAATTAACGAGCTTAATTTGCTAGATGCTAAGTGCAATTAAATGTGTTACTCAAAACCACTAAAAGCTTATGTGAGAAAGAGTTAGTTATCTTAAACAATGGGATTCGACCCAGCCCCAAATGGATCAGTAGCCCAACGAGAGAGGAATGACCCAAGTCTTATTTAAAAGGGACAATCACGCCTGAACCCAAGGTCAAGCCCAAACTCAAACAATGACGGTTTCAAACAATGAAGAGGTCCTTAGTTCGAATTCACAACTCTACTCGGAGGCTAGTCACTCACATTTTCATTTTTAAACTATTAAACCAAAGGGAAACAGAGATTACGACAAAAGCTTTCAAGGCTTTGGGCCTGAATTAGGCCCAGTCCTGGAAGAAAGGAGAGCAACGATGGGTCTTGCCTAGGGATCGAATCCCTGAAGACCAAAATACAATTTCAAAACCCCATTTGAATTCGAGGCATCATAATATCCGTCATTCATTCTCATAATTAAAAATGACTTGAGCTATTCGAAGCATAAGTGCATAAAATTTCAGAATATCTCACGAAAAGCTTTTGAAAAGTAATTTTTGAAATCTGATGAAGTAACACAACTGCCTAAAAATCACTTGAATAGAAAAGGTTACTGAATTTAAACCTTGTTCAAACTTCACACTAAATATAACTAAACATGCTTGATTTTCACTACACATTTAGCTATGTAACAACTATCTAAATCAACTTAAAATCACTAACATTGCAGATCAAGCACCTCTCTTAACCATTCTCAAATAGAACTAAACCCACAATATAAAACAAACTAAATGGCTTCAACCTTCAACATAATGTTTAACCTTAACTATATTAACCTTATTCTTAACAAAACCTTCAACAATTTGAACAAAGATATGCATGACTCTAAAAACTAATGGTCATTTCAACCACAAGCAGAACTCAGGAATTAAACAGACAAAACTAACATGTGCTGCATAAGAGTCCTATTAGAATTTTGATATAAACTTTGAGATAAACTAAGAAGGAAAACATGTTGAGCTAAAAATCGACAAAGCAAACTAAAAAAAAGAAACTAAGAAGAAACAACATCTGATAAAGAGGAAAAATCCCTATTTTCTCTTCAACCAAAACACTTCATGAACTGTGTTACATGCTTAACTCTAGGATATGTACCTGGATGTAGAAGAAAACAGAGAAGAGGAGTAAGGAACCAGTAGCTAAAGAACAACAATCCACAGCAAACAGCTCAACCAAATTGAATTCAAAAGTAACAAAAGGCAGCCTTCGCTCGAGCAAATAACAGAATTCAAAACCAAACCTCCAAACCCAATTTCAATCTATTTTTGAACTATCTTAACCAAGAAAACCTTTTCAGGGAATGAGAACTTCAGAAATTACACAAGATAAGCATTGGAACAGTGATTTTTCCTTCAGCTTTAGCCGTTTTCTCTTTTCTGTATTTCTCAGCTCTTTTTTCCAATCTGAATTGAGCCTCAAGTAATAATGCCTTTATAGGCAAGTTACTAGGGTAGCCTTAAGGGCTTAGTTTTTTCACTTTAGACCTTTCTTAGTTTTTCTCTTTGCTAGTTAATCCCTCATTTTCTGACTTGCTAGCCAAGCTAGGCTATTTTCAGCTTTCTAAGAAGCTTCCTAAGGCAGTTACTGTAAGATTCCCTGAGGCTAAATTCCAAATTACCCCTACAGCCCCCTGAAATTAACCAAATAGACCAAACGGTATGGGTCAAGTTGACCATGGGTTGAATTAACTCAAAACCCAACCCAGACAATGAGTCTGAATCTAAAGGCATGAACCCCAGGCCCAAATACAATCAGAACCAAATTAACTGAAGCAAAACAAAAAACATAAGCAATTCAAGCAGCCTTTGGAAACTCAACTAACGAACAAATAATTTAATGAAATTGAAACTAAATAATAACGGATTGTTTACACTAATTAAAGAAAAGAAAACTAACATGCATGCAAAGGACGACTCTAATACTGGGAAAACAAAAGAGTTCAAAAGAAGAGGGAGAAGCAGATGGCAATGAAAGGTAAAAATGAAAGAAAAAGTAAAGAAGACTAGCAAAAGAAAACTGAAAAAGAAAAACCTACAATGGCTCAGGACGGACTTGAACAAACTTGAAGAACTCATTCGATTTCTTGACAAGAACAACCTTATGTTTTCATGTGAAAACACATGAGTAAAGGTCATTACAGCCTAGAATCTTCAAAAGGCCCGTTGGATTTGAGTTTATAGAATTAGGGCTTTCTTGTGATCCAATATTCGAGCAGTTTGAGGGGAATTCGAGGGAAAAGAGTGACAGATTTGGGACGAGGAAGGCTCGGAGGTTCTTTGGTGTTAGTTTGGGGTCGATTGGTGGTTGCGCCGCCGGCTTGAGTCGGTGGGAAATTAGGGCGACTCTAGGGTTTCTGGGTTGTCTCTGAAGAGAGGGGGTGAGATGAGATAGATGAGTTTGAGGGAGAGGGAGGGCAGGCTTAGGACAGATATATAACATGACCCCACTTCTCAGTCGTCTGATCAAGCAACATCGACGATTGAGATCGCGATTTAACAAAACGGGGTCGTTTGGACGGGGGAGTGCTGGACCGGGTGTGACATGGGTCATGGGCCAGTTTTAAACGGGTTTCAGATGTAATTGAATTGGGCTTGGGAATTTTCAAATTTCTGGCCCAAAATTCGGACCCTTTCAATTCTTTCCCTTTTCCAATTTTTCTTTTATTTTAAAAAATCTTTTTCCTTTTTTCAAAAATTAAAAATAAAACCTAAATTAATCCCTAATACAAATTATCCTACCAAATTAAATTAATAACTCTAAATAATAATTACCACAACTAATTAAATACCCAATTAAAGAAAACTACCAAATTTCGAAGCTCAAAAATTTAAAATGCAAAAACGAGTTATTTTTTGTGATTTTTCCATTTTCGTAAAACAAACTAATTTACTAATTAATCTAATAATGTAAAATTAAATCCTAAATGCAATGCGTGATATTTTTTGCTATTTTTCATGATTTAAATAAAATTAAATATGCACACAAAATGCAAACAAACACAAAAATTGAGCAATTAATTCCTAAAAACCAAATAATAAAAAAAAAATCCTAATTTTAGGGATTCTGTAGGAGTAATTCATGCGAGGCAAAAATCACGTGCTCCCCTAAATGTACTCAATCGTCGTAACGAGTAATCTTTTTTTAATGATTACGAATCTCAAATCCAAAACCTCATAAAAAAGGGAGAGATCCCATCCCAACCCATTTCCCATTCCACAACGGTCAAAATTCCCTAATTAACTCAAATCAGGAGAAAGGGTCCTATGCAATTACACGCGGCAAAATCTCATTAAATTGAATGTTAAACCATCTAGAAGTAGGTAATTAGAATTAAAACCTATTTATAAATCTCTGTTTTATTCTACTAATTAAACATTCTGGTACTTTGCGTGAATCTATTGGGTATTTAATTTCTCTCCTCCTGAATTCCGCCCATGGCTGAGAGCTCTAATTGCACTGTTTATGTTGGAAATTTACATGAGAGAGTAAGCGATCGTGTATTATATGATATTTTAGTTCAAGCAGGGCGCATTGTTGACTTATACATTCCTCGTGATAAGGAAAATGATAAGCCTAAAGGTTTTGCCTTCGCTAAATATGAGACGGAGCAGATTGCAAATTATGCTGTGAAACTCTTTTCTGGTTCAGTCACACTTTACAGTAAAACATTAAAATTTGCTATTTCTGGGCAAAACAAGCCCTCTAATAGCTCGCCAATGGCAACACCAAGGCCTCGTCCTGTAGCTTATAATCAGAAGGAAATTTCACCAAAATATATGAGATTGTCAACTTTTTGCAGGTTTTCAAATCACCAAACTAACTATACGCAAGTTGAGGGGCGGAGCCGGAGTGCGGACTATAGGTTAGGCTAAACCCAGTAGCTTTGACGGAGTGCGGACTATAGGTTAGGCTAAACCCAGTAGCTTTGATTCAAATCCTATATTTATCTTAAAAATTCATTGAATATATACAAATCTTGAAATCCTTGCTTTATAGATCACATTAATATTTAGAATTTAGTCCTTCACTAGAGAACAGTAAAATTAACTTTATGATTTGCAAATCACCCTTTTTTTTTTTGCAAAGCACTTGGAAGAAGTGGCGTTTGTATAGTTTTTGTTTTTAATAGTAATAGTTTTTTATTGCTCAGTTATTTGATGAATGATGTGGAGTTCAATCAATTAGCATGTTTTTACCAATAAATTCCGAACAGATCATTGTAAAAGTACAAGTGGTTCAGTAGCGAGACTATAAAAGTTGAACCTGTAACGTTTCAAATTTTGAATTTACCTCTGAGGTCTATAGTATCAGATGCCCTATATATTGAATAATCTTTCTAGGTGAATGTTGAAACAAAAATAAAAACATACATGAAGAGATGATTTTAGATGGAGCATCTTTCTATAAATATTGCTTAAAGCCTATTAGATTCATTTTTGGATGTAAATTTTCTCTCTGAAAGTGGGAAAATAATTGGGCTGGATATGTATTTGGGCCTTTTCCCACGTAGACGACTAGAAAGCGTCGAAATCATTTTTAGATTGTGTTGGTGGCTTCCTGGCAATCCAGATGATGAGCAAGAGCGGATTCACTCTCAAATTATGGCGCATGTGCACTTATAGTCTTTCCACCAAATTAGGTATTTATGTATATATTTCTTTGAATTCGTCTAATATTATGTGATGAATCTCATGCCCCAATAACTCTGAATGATCCACTTAGTTAATACTAAATTATTATTGGAATTTTTACCTCATATAGAAAAGGTTAACACCTTATTTATTTTAAATAAATACCATTTTAAAAAATTATATTCTGTAGATACCTTTTAAGGTTTATATCAAAATATTTAATTTTGGTTACCTCCTAATCCGAAGCCACTAAATACGCTATTCAGTTACACTATTTTCTTTCTCTCTCTACTTTGATACATCCCATTCTCTTCCCCCATCCCATTAAAATTTCAGCTCTCCTCCTCCTTCTAACGACATCGTCTCTTTGCTTTACTTTAATCAATCCTTCAAAATCCAGTGACCAGCAGCACATCAACAACAAACCCTAACCCGAAGACCCAACCATGCCGAAGCAAATCCACGAAATCGTTGGTGATTATTTGTTGTTGAGGTTCACCAAGTTTACAATGCTTAACTTCATCACATATTTATATTTCATTGATGCCTGGATTTCAGATTATGCGGATAACTAGACAAGAATCCAATTAAGTTTCGATTAAATATTCTTTAAGTTCCGGTTCAATTAGCGTTCTGCAAGATCTTTGAAGATGGAAGGACTATTTGGCTACAAAGCGGAAATTAGGGTTTGTTCTTGAGCAAAGACGACAGAGTTTGGGGCGGAGCAACTTGATTTTCTGTTAATATATTTCAATGTATTTTCAATGTATCATGCTGTATTTTCATATATTTCATTGTATTCATTGTATTCATTGTCTTTTTTTTCATTGTAATCCAATGTATCTCGCTGTATTCCATGTATTTCATTATATTCACTGTCTTTTTTTTCATTATTTTTCAATGTATCCCGTTGTATTCTATGTATTTCATTGTATTCACTGTCTCGCTATATGACACGAATGTATTCATATATTTTTTTTAATTAATATAATTTATTCAGATGTATTATATATTTTCTCTGAAGATTGCTATATTTTTGGGGTATTTTTCGATTGAGAATCTTTTTTATAACCGGGAATACAAATTTTGTGTGTTATAATTGAGTTTGTTGAGTTATATTAGGAGTCTATTATATTAATTGATACACTTTCCGTTTAAAAACAGTGTAATTCCCTGTTTCACGCCGTGAATACAGTCGAATACAGTAATCTGTCCAGTTGTAATCCCATGTTTCATGCGATGAATACAGTCGGATACAACAATTGATTAGCTGGACTTCCATGATTCACGCCTATTTTTGCTACTGTATTCATGAATACAATAGCTTAAATACATCAAATATATCTTATAACCACAGAAAAGGTATCTATAATCCGTAATATAACAAACTGTATTTATAGATGGCTAATTACTACTAAAAGATAGTGTTTTATGAAAATTTCTCATTAATCAGAGAAACCAACATCAATTCCCACTTAATATTTTCTTTTTGCTCCTTTCTTTGGTGGTACACTCATATTCTAGAAATTCTAAATTTACTTATGATAAAGAGGATCCCAAATGGCTAATACGTAATAAAAAGCACACAAATTAATTACTACACAATATAGAGAAGAAGAAAGATAGATACAACATTTACTAAACTTGATTCATAAAGTCAGAAGCAAGCAAAGTAAAAAGTCAGGATACGTTTATACGCAAGAGGGGGAGACAATGTCATAAAGATGAGAAGCCCTATCGTACAATTGACCAACTATTAATAGATCTTACTTATATTTACGGATAAGAGAAAAAATTAGTCTGTACCATGTCAAACTGGATCGACATCATTGTTCAGACTTCAGAATCTCATTGGGGTCTTTTTGAACTCAAAATACTAAAATAAGTGGGAAAAAAATTTAGTGACCAAACTATATAAAACGTGGTTTTAAACCGCTTAAGGTAAAGCGCGTTTTAAAACCACGTTTTATATAAAATGCGTTTTCAAACTATGCTTTACCTATTTTGTGGGCCACCAATAACTCTTCTGCTCTTAACTAACATAACAATAATTCAAATGGGTAAACCCTTTTAAAACGCATTTTACTTCAAAAAATTCGACCCCCACATTGGGTATTGCCTTATTTAAAGGCGTTAAGGGTTTTGTAAAAATCCATTTAGAAATATTCTCAACTCCTGTTAAATTTTTCTTCTTGTTAAATTCTCAAGCATTTTTTCATAATGTCTGAAGAACGAAAAGTAAGNTGCCACTTACAGTGGAGTACGATAGACCGATATCGTTTTATGTAGTAAAATGAGTGTGAGCAAGCGTTCGGTGAATCTTAAAATAACCAAAAGATATCCGTATTTTGTGACTCCACAAGGGGTTGTTTGTTACGCTGAGTTTAAATCGAGAATGATGAAACTATGAGAGATTTTTTGGGGACTCCGAATGAATACCAGGAATTTATTTTGATAAAAATGTTGCAAATATACGTGAAGGTTGAAGACGTTCACAATAATGAGGTTGCACAAAGCAGGGATAACCCTCAATAATCGGGTGGTTATTTTGGAGCAGTTTTAGCCGAACAGGTTCCGGTTGAAAGAGTTTGGCCGGATATAAACTTATCTCCACGGGCGAACGAGAAGTGAGAAAATAATTTCTCTCCTACTTTACATAATCCACAAGACGACTGGTAAACATGAATTTTTCTTTTTGTTACAATGTTTATTTTTGTTGTATTGAATTTGTATTAACACTCATATATTCCACAGGGTACCGTCTAGATATGAATTTTACAAGTTATGAACCAACGCCCAGTTGGAATATGCATAGTTTTGGTGTTTTGGATCATGTTGGTCTATCTGGGAGTCATCACCAATAGGATAATGTCCATCATGGAATGTCAACACATTACAACTTGTAAGTGAAGTCATATAGCTATATGTAAAGTATTTATCAATTTGAGTAGCTTATTATTCTGTTGTTTGTGTAGTGAAAATGAGCAACTTGATGGCCCTATCCTCACTCAGTTGCCTGTAGACGACGTATTTACTCGGGATTTGGTACATGGGCAGAGTCAAGAAGATAATAGTGATTATGACAACAATACCGATGAGTCTGGAGATGACACACCCTTCCCTAACGAGGGTAATGATGACGAGGAAGAGAATGTCAAACCTGATTTGACAAGGGAACATGCTCCACCTCCCGTTAGACCAAGAGTGTACGAGTCCCACATACCGTTTCATTCAAGGCATATTCCCTACCTTGATTATTTGCCAAGTATGCTGGATGTGGATGCCCTCACAAGGGATTTTGACGAAATTCGGACAAAAATGTGGGATGAGTCTAGACCAACGGTGCTGGCAAAAGGCATGCTTTTTCCTGATAAAGCACGCCTAAGCAGGCCGGAGAAAATGTACAGCGTAAAAGAGTGTCGTGAGATGACGGTATGGGAGTCAAGTCCGGATGTATACAAGGTTGTTTGCCATAGATGGTTTACGGGTTATCATAGGATACTGTATGCGAGCAAGAATAAAATAAACATGTGGAAAGTGGGTAAATATATTGGCACCCACATTTGTGAAATGGACACATTCAATGGGAATCACTTCAACTTGGATATTGACTTGATTTCTCTTGTCCTGATTCCACACATTGAAGCGTCCATAATGTACAAGATCAAATAGTGTATTACATATGTCCACCAACAATATGGGTGTACTATTACCAAAAGAAAGGCATATCTCGGGTGCAAATGTGCATTTGAAATTATTTATGGTGATTGGGATAAGTCATCCCCGGGCTGTTGTTGAATAGAAGCTTGAGCGGAGTACAGGAATACCTGAATATATATTTAGAACGTGTTCTGTGCATTTAAACCAGCAATTGATGGTTTTGTGCATTGTTGTCCGGTAATATCCATATACGGTACTCATGTCTATGGAAAGTATGATACTAAACTGTTGATCATCGTTACAGTAGATGCCAATGGACAAATATTTCCCCTAGATTTTGCCATCTGTGCCAATGAAAGCCAAGAGATGTGGATGCTATTTTTGAACCATTTGAAGGAGCACGTTATCAAACAACGTTCAGGTATTTGTCTAATATCTGATCAACATATTAAGTTCTGTAGAGCATTTGCTTGAATGTCAGGAACCGTATGCATACCACTGTTACTGTGTGAGGCATCTGAAGGCCAATTTCTAGAAGAAATATCCCAACAAGGACTTACATGATTTAATGTGGATGGCTGCAACTGATCACCAGGAGTGCAAATTCAGGAGGCGCATGGAATCGGTCCAGCAGGAAGACGAAAGAGCCGATCATTGGTTGATGCGATATGAGCTTCACAAGTGGACATTGCATGCGGATGGTGACAGACAATCGGGAACCCTGACTACAAATGTGTTAGAGTCTTTCAACGGGTTATTGAAGTCTGCACGTGGATTGCCTGTCACTGCCATAATGCGAATGTCATTCAAATAGATGGCAGAGATGTATGTTGAAAGGCATAGAGGTGCAACAAAATTGATGGAGAGGGGTGTTGAATTTATGCCAATACCAATGAAAAGATTTGAGAAATACAGGAGGCGAGCACATTGGCATTCATTTTTACAGTATTCTAACGAGCAATATTTTTTGAAGTTCGCATCACTATCTATTAAAATCGGGGGAATAATATACACACCGTAAATAAAGCCAGTAGGTTATATTCTTGTGGGAAATGGTATATCTACCATATACCGTGCTCATATGTCATCAAGTACTTTCAACATACAGGTTTAGGGCCAACCAACAATGTTGATAAGCAATACAGTGTTGCTGCATACTTAAACACATATAGTAGGCAGTTGCAGCCAGTGGGTGCTAAGCATTATTGGCCACCGGAACCATTTAAAATGGTGTGTATCAAGGAATATTTGCGTAAACTACAAGTGCAAAAAAGAACACGTATACAGAATCAAATGGATGTTGGTTATACCGTTTATGCGCGTAAATGTGGCATATGCTCGCAAACAGGACACAACCATCGTAAATGTCCTTCAGCTGGTTTGGGTGGCGGTGGTAATCCAGATCCTGGTGGAAGTTCATCTAATGTGCCCAACTATTAAGGATACACGTAGTGTTCTGTTTTCATAATGTGTTTGTAATAAGTGTATGTACTTGTTTATCTTGCAGAATGTATGAAAGAAAATTATGTTTCCATTGTTGTTATATTTTTTTGATATTTAACATTAATACTTCAGTACAACAATCTAACATAAACCCATTTAAACAACTATACCACTTGTCATCACTCAAGTTAGTGTCATCACTCAAGTCAGTGTAGCAACCTAGCATATTTTTTTCAAGGAAGGGATCGATAGTGTTAAGACGTGATCTATGGGGATCTTTTGAACTATCTTTACTCTTTTACCTCTTTTTGAACCACTTGTTAAATGTTAGTGGCATTTTTTTAATGGATGTTGTAATATTTATTCAAAAGGTCTTTGAGATACATATGACTTGGTTCAGTTAAAGAAGCTTTCTTATACCCGAAATCATGATTACCTCGCGAAGCATATCGCGGTTACATACAATGTTATGCGTATTGTCTTGTCGAGCTGATAAAGCTATCGTTCTGCAAAAGCTGTCTTCTGGAAAAGCTGTATTGTACCATAAAGAATCAGTAGCACGTGAAGCATATCGCGGTTACATACCACATTATGTGTATTGTCTTGTGGAACAGATAAAGCTGTCATTCTATAAAAGTTGTATTATACCGTAAAGAATCATTAGCACACGAAGCATAACGCTATTACATACCATGTTATGTGTGTTGTCTTGTCGAGCTAATAAAGTTGTCGTTCTGCAAAAACTACTCGCCTCGAAAAACTGTATTGTACTGTAAAGAATCATTAGCACGCGAAGCATAGCGCGGTTACATACTATGTTATGTGTGTTGCCTTACCTATAAATAACTAGCAAATTTTAGTTATTATCTGCGCTTAACCAAAACAAATAGCAACACTTTTCATAAAGCAGTTTTTTTTATTAACAAATATCTGAACGCATTTATGTACCAATGTGCTATTGTGGCAAACGTTGTATGGTGTCGGACTGTTGGGAGGATGGTCATGTTGGACGCATATACTGGATGTGTGTAAACAGGTTTGGAGGCAACAACAGAAATTTTTGCAATTTTGAGGTTTTTTTATGAACCCTGTAAGCAGGAATGATACAAACGATCTCTGCAGTATTATCATGATATGAACAAAAGATACAAACGTGATGAGATTGAAATGAAACGAGAAATTGCAGTGTTGAAGGAGAAACTAAATGAGGCGGAAGAAGAAAAAAGTAAGCTGGAAGAGAAATTTAAGTAGTTGGAGCAAAGAATACTAGGCGGTCGTGACTAAACAATGACAGGTATGTGTTGAGTGTAGTACTTTATCTTTATATTTTCTGTATCATGTGTTTTCATTAGTTGTATTGAATTTAAATTATGTTAAGTTGCTATGTTTGTGTTTGTGTTGTAGTATTAAAATAAAGAAGAATCGGGGAAACATAATGCGCATATAATGTAAACATAAAAAATTATTGTTATTATTTACATAAAATACAAAAAAAAAATCAATGTGTCCCACAACCTGTGTGCTCCAATGTAGTCGCTGGCCTAAGGTGTATCTCATCCCACCCGGATACGCTATCAGGATCATCCTCATCATGTCGCCTCTTTATCGCAGGATGCACGACAATATGATCATCAATAGTGTTGGCAGGAACGGTAGAAGGGTCGTTGGTCCATCAGCAACCTACAGAAGAATAACTCAGCTTACTATATGAAAATATATATTAGTAATGTATGTGTTAAGTCAAAAAAATTTTAAATTGTCTTTCCATGGTCTCGTCGGGCTCCTGAATATTAGAATCCATCGCATCCAGGTCAGCATCGCACAAAGTGGCCTCCATGACTGGTGTGGATGAAGCCTTAATAAGAAAATTATAAAGTTATTTATGGTGAATCAATGAGATAAAAATAAATTTAAATTTAATAGTAATACAAATATACCTGTGCCTGTGAAAGATCCCCAGCACCCATCAATGATGAGCTATAACTCAGCTGGCGCCCACTATCCACATATCGGGTCGGCTGATCCTCAGCAACGGTCGATGGGCCTGAAAAGTACTAATCCCAATCCTCTTCGGTAATGCTCGTGCTCGTGATCAACAATGGATCTGATGGGGTCACCTGCGAAGTCACTGGAGTGAGCGGCAGCTGAAGGCCGAATGACGGCATGTGCTGTGATGCTCATCTGGCTGATGGAGGTCACCCAGCAGATCAACTCCAACATCCTCAACAGGTGCCTCAATGCCCCCTTGCTGGGTACCACCTCCTCGCCGGCCCCCATGACCCCGTAGGATAGCCCTGCCTCATGCTCCCCTACCTCGTGGGACAACCCAACCTCGATAATAGTGCTCTGGCACCACATAAACAGGGTCATGTACTAAGCGCTCATCCTCTCGGGCTCGCTGCAGTGTCCGAGCAACTAGCTCTATAACCTGCCCGCCATACTCGTGCAAAATGGCCGCTCCCTCGCCGGCATGCTGCTGCATCTGCAGTCCTAACTGGTGGAATAAATGTAGGCCAATAGCCTTTACAACATGTACAATATAAATTACGGAATGCTAGGTTATAGTTATAAGTAAGAATATCAAATAACATACCAGTGCCTCGTGCCTCCCGATGTATGGAACGTGCCGACCACCAACTCGATGAATGAGATTCCCGATGAAAAGTCGGGTAATGCTGCGGTACCAGCCTATATAATCATGCTCAGTATCCGACCGACTCAGTGAAGGGAGAGGGGGGAAGGGGCGGAATCAGGTTAAATCGCCGATCCCAAGTATCGATCTGCTCCTTTAGCCATGCCAAATATGCGTCGTCCACCCTGGAACGATCATCCTGCTGGAAATGTGTGGTATGCCAAGTGGGCGGTGTCGGTACGAGCTGCGGACGACCAAACTGGTGAAGTACCCGCTCGGTGGCATGATACTCCACAATATCAAGGCACATCAACGGGACGGAAGACACCACATAAGTTGGCCGGCCGAGCAATAATCGGGCAAGCCAGCTATCAACGCATCGCTGTATGGCGTCTAGATGAACTATTAAGTAACAACAGAAAACGTGAGTATGAGCATGTGATTTTTTCCCTATTAAAAAATACTCCTACAAAATTAAAAATATAGATTTTTTTCAAATTGTTTTCAATTTTATAGGATTTTATTAATTGTTTACATTTATGTGCACGTTTAATTTTTTAAAATCATGAAAAATGACCAAAATTGTCAAAAAATTTCATGCATTGCATATTAGGTTTTGTGTTCATATTTTAGGATTAATTGATTAATTAATTGCTTTATTAAAATGAAAAATCACAAAAAATATTGTCCATTTTATATTTTTAGCTCCTAATATTAGATTAGTAATTTTTTATTCATCAATTTAGGATTAATTAATTTTGTAAAAATTATAATTAGATAATTAGTTTGATTTTACAGATTAGATTAATTTAGGACTTTAATTAATTAAAGAAAAGAAAAAGGAAAAACAAAGAAAAGAAAAATAGGAAGAATATATTTTTGGTCTTGTTTCTTTTAAAATTGGGCCAATTCCTAAAATGACTCAATAAATTTTTAAACCCCAGCCCAATTTCCATAACTCCTGCCCGATCCGGTCCCAAACCCCACCACACAAGCGACGTCGTTTTCCCTATTTTAATCCCAGCCGTTGATCTTCCATGATCCAATGGCTGGGAACTAACCACTCCTTCCCGATCCGGTCCCAAGCCCCACCACACAAGCGACGCCATTTTCCCTGTTTTAATCCCAGCCGTTGATCTTCCATGATCCAACGGTTGGGAACTAACCACTCCTTTCCTATAATTGTCCAAACGGGACACCCCCTAGACCCCTCTCTCTCATTCTATTTCATCTCCCTCAGAGATACCAAACCTTAGCCGCCCTAATATACCTCGCCGCCTCAGCCGTGGTCCGCCGACCGGAAATTGCCTCTCGGCGGTGGACCACCTCCAAACTGCCCCAAACTTATACCATATAATCCTAAGCCCCTCCCAAACATCAATCTCTCATTAGTTTTTCCCAAATCACCACTCAAACCTTCCGATTTCAAATCCGAAAGTCACACCCTAAACCCTAGGTCGCCCAAACAACCCCAAATTCACACCATGGGACCCTCAACCTCCCCTAACCACTAATCTACCACCGATTCCCCAAAACCCCCTTAAAGTTCCTCAAATTTTAGATCTCAGGAAATCAGAAACACTAATC